TTCCTTTTTCGCCAACCAGGGCCCCCTCTGCTCCTTTTTCGCCAACCAGGGCCCCCTTTGCTCCTTTTTCGCCAACCAGGGCCCCCTTTGCTCCTTTTTCGCCAACCAGGGCCCCCTTTGCTCCTTTTTCCGCCGCCCGGGGCCCCTCTCCTCCTTTCTCCCGAAAACGCCGAAAAATTCCACCCGCGGCCTCCCCACCGCCCCCGAACTCCCCCTGCACCCCGCGCGCCAGCTGTACGTACACCCCTCGCCCGCGAAACCCCTGCGCCCTGCTCCCCGCGGATCCCCTCGCACTTTTTCTTTTCTGCTTTCGCCGCCCCACTTCCGTCTCGCTGCAGCCCGCCGCGCCGATCCCCGCGCGGCCCCCGCCGCGCCGCCTCCTGCTGCTCCCGCTGCTGCTGCTGCCGCTGCTGCTGCCGCTGCTGCTCCCGCTGCTCCTGCGGCTCGCCTCCCCTGTCTCGCAGCCTCTCCGCCCCGCTTTCTCCCCTTTTCCCTTTTCTCCTCCTTTTGCCTTTTATTTCCCTTCCACCTTTCCCCCACTTCCCCGCACGAAGTCCCCACTAACTCCAGACGCGCCCCCGACCCCGCAGCCCACCCACGCAACCCCACAACCCCATCGACTTCCCGCTCCTCGCCCGCAAGGCCCAGCGCCTTTACTGCTTCTTTATTATTTATTTTCCTTTTTTATTTCTTCTTCACTTTCGGTTTTCTTTTCGCCTCCAGTTTCGTCTTTTCCGCCGCGCAGCACCCCCAGTCAGCTGTCACTGCACTGCACCTCCCCGCTGTCTGTCCTCTTCTCCCCTCTTCTGGCTTTCCTCTTTTCCTTATTCATTTTTTCGTTTACTTGTATTTATTTGTTATTAGTATTTTTATTTTTTTTCTGTTAGTCCTTGTCTGCTGCTATTAGGCCCCCTGCTTCTATTTGCGCCTGTCTTCCCTTCTCCGCCTCCAAGTGCTGCTGTCTTCCGCTATTTTCCTTTTTGTCTTTTTGAATTTATTTGTTCTATCTATTTACTTATTATTTTATTTATTTATTTTCATTATTTTATTTATTTTCATTATTTTATTTTATTTTTTTTTTTATTTGTTTATTCTCCAACTTCACCTGCAGCTGCTGCCTTCTCCCAGCCGTTCTTCTCTTTCTTTCTTTTCCCTCCAAACAACTCAAAAGCTAATTCAAATTATCCCCCATTAGACATCTTCAAATAAGTATTTTTAATTATTTCTAATCATTTTTAATTATTTAAAACAGTTTTAAATTCTCTGCAACGCTCTACTGCCCCTAAAGACCAGGGGGCCCCCCAACCCCGCTGCACTCAGCAAAGGCCAGGGGCCCCCCGGGTGCATGTGGGGGCCCCCATGGCCCCTAGGTGTACCCTGGGGGCCACCAGGGTACCTCCTTAGGCCCCGAAAGACCCAACGGGGCCCCAAGAGGGCCCCCAAGGGCCCCGGGGGCCCCCAGGGGGCCCGGGGGCCAGCTGGCTGGATGGGAACAGCTAGCTGGCTAGACGAGCACAGCTAGCTGGCTAGCTGGGCTCAGCTAGCTGGCTAGCTGGGCGTAGCTAGCTGAGCCTGTGCCACGGCCAGCCAGGCGCAGCACCAGCGCTCCCCCAGGGTCACTGTGGGGCCCCACAGCAGCCCGCAGCAACAGCTGTGGGGCCCCACAGACTTCAAACCTTTTGGGGAGCCCTTGACAAACTTTAGGCCCCGCAAAACGGCCCTGAAAGCCGCAGCAAACCTTCTGGGGGCCCCCTAGGGGCCCCCCAGGGGCCCCCAAGGGGGGACCTCCAGGGGCCCCCAGAGAGCCCCCTAGCGACCCCCGGAGGGGGGCCCCCTAGGGGCCCGAAGAGGGGGCACCCCTAGGGGCCTCTAGAGGGGTTCCCCGTAGAGGCCTTTAGAGGGGGCCTCCCAGGGGGCCCCAGAGTGGGGCCCCCTAGGGGCCCCCAGACTGGGGCACCCTAGAGGGGCTCCCTAGGGGGCCCCAGAGAGGGCCCCTAGGGTCTACGCCTCACCAGAAGTGCAAAGGGCCCTTGGCAGCTTTTTTGGCTTCTTAAGCAGCACCTGCTTCCTCTGCTGCTGCTTCCTTCAGCTTGCTGCTGCACTCTTTTGCTGCTGCTGCTGCTACTTTTAGTTTTGCTGCTTTTAGCTGTCTTATGCACATAAATGTAAATATATTTAAATATAAATATATTTATAAAGATATAGAAGTTGATATATACAATAAAATGTAAATATGTTTTATTTTTATTTTTATTTGCATGCGTCTTATGGTAAATATATTCACATCTATACATGCACACGTAAGTCTGTCTTCGCCTCCTCGGCGCGCAACAACACCTTCTGAACTAGAGTTTAGGGTTTAGGGTTTAAGGTTTAGGGTTTAGGGTTTAGGGTTTGGAGCCATTCTTCTGCGAAGAAAATGCAAGAGGCGGGTCTTCAGGGTTTGCAACTGTTGAATTATTTTTATTTATTTATTCTTATTATTTATTTATTTATTTGTTTATTTATTTATTCATTTTCTTCTTCAGCCAGCGCAGCCACGAGGCTGAAGAAGAGCTGTTTGCGGTGGAAATAAAGACAATTTTTTATTTCATTTTGATTTTTAATTCCATTTTCATTTTCATTTTCTTTCTTATTTTTATTTTCTTTCTTATTTTTTATTTGTATTTCCATTTCTTTCTCGTCCAGCTTCTCCGCCCGCCTCCAGGCCTTTTCCCGAATGCACACAACTGGCCATCCCCAGCTGCGGAGGGCTTTGAGTTTGGCCCTTGTTGCTGCAGCAAGTGGCGCTTCTGCTGCTGCTGCTGCTGCTGGGTCTTCTGCTGCTGCTGCGTCTTCTGCTGCTGCTTTTTTGGGGTGTCTAGAGACCTCGAGGAAGTCGTGACACTCCAGCAGCACCAACACCAACAAGTGCGAAGCAGCAGACACAGAGCAGCAAACAAATGGCTGTCCTGCTGCATCAAACATGTAGCAAGGACGAGCAGCAGCAGCTGCTGCTGCTGCTGCTGGTTGGTTTGGGGGCTTCGAGAGGCTGATCTGCTTAGCGCCGCTGCGCCTCGACCGACGCCCCCTTGCTGCTGCGGGCTCTGCTGCAGCTGCTGCTGCTTCTGTTGCAGCTGCTGTAGGCTCTGTTGCAACTGCTCCTGGTTCGACTGTTGCTGCTGCTGCTGCCGCCTGTTCCGGTTCTTGCTCTGCCTCTGCTGCTGCCTCCGTTGCTGCTGCATCTGCCGCTCCTTCTTCCATTTCAAATCCGCTCAAAGGCTCCTCGCTGCTGGCCACATCTTCCCCTGCTGCTGCTGCTGCTGCTGCTTCTTGCTGCTGCATGTGCCTAGCCAAAGAAGCCAAGTCGACGGCCATGTCAGCAAAGGCCCAGCTGCCCACGCAGACATTGGGGTGTACAGACACCTCCGGCCACTGCCGAATGCAATTAAAGATGCGCTCCTGCACAGGAACAACGGCCCCGCTGCTGCTGCTGCTGGCCTTGGCCTGCTGCAGCTGCTGCAGCAGGTCCAGCGAAGACAGCCTGTGGGGACCGGGAGGAAGCGGCGAAGGCGGCAGAAAAGCAAAAGAAGAAAAAAAGGAATTCAGAGGAGGCGGCAGACGCGACAGCAGCGGGGAAGAAGAGAGAAACCCTAAAACAGGGTTTAGGGTTTCGCGCTGCCACTGGTCCCGCTGCAGCACAAAAAGCCAAAAAGCCAATTATTTGCAGGTTCTAATTTAATTTTTTAAAAAGATAAATACCTCCTATTAATGCAAAAGAGTTGCAGTATGTAGTTTAAGATTTATAAAAGATAAGAGGTATTTAAATGAATAAATTAATTTTATTTTTTTAATTCATTTGAAACCAACTCATGCACATCTCCAGAGCACTCCCAAGTAAAAAGGCAGCAAAGGCAAAGACGCGCAGCAGGCGCCGCAAACCCTTCAGGAATTAGGGTTTAGGGTTTAGGGTTTACGGTGTCGTAAAGAGCCTGAGCCGCTGCTGTAATGCTCTCCACATCTAAACTTCTGGGCCTCGCAGTTAAGTCAAAGAGAGCCGCCGCCTGCAGCAGCGCCAGGGGGCCCTCAGCCTGCAGCAGCAGCAGCAGCAGCAGCAGCAGCAGCAGCAGCAGCAGCAGCGCATTGGACAGAGTGAAAGCAGAGACAGAAACCATAAATCTCAAGTTAGCGCAAAAGCCAAACACGCCGGAAGCAACTGCGCAAACGAGGAGGAGAAAAGAGGGAAAACCAAACACAAAAGAAAAAAAAAACGAGACTCCACCAGCAGCAGAAGCAGCAGCAGCAGAAGCAGCAGCAGCAGCAGCAGCAGCGCACCGAGTGCCAGTGGCGCCTGGAGGCCAGGAGGGGAAAGAGAGCGAGTTGGTCTGCGGTGTTTCGCATTTGCAAAAATGCCAAATAAAAAGTTATGAGAG